AGATATGAGGGAGAAAGGACAGCTCAGGGTCGAACAGAACCCCGAGGTTCCTGATGGCTTTGAGAGGTGGAGAGTGCGGCCTTGGATGCTGATGCTGTCAGCGCCTGAGGTGCGGAGGCGCTGACGTGAGCCAATGAGGAGGGCCTCAGTTTTGCGCACGTTGAGCTGAAGAAAGTTGTCTCTCGTCCAGGACTCGATGTCGGACAGACAGCTGTCAGGACATCGGGGGTCGTGGAGTTTAGGGTAGAGGAGGAAAGGTAGAGTTGGGTGTCATCCGCATACATGTGGGAGTGAACCCCATGTCTGCAGATGATGTCACCACAGGGGGAGCATATAGAGGGTGAAGAGGAGGGGACCGAGGACAGAGCCCTGAGGGACACTGCACGAGACAGTGCGGGGGGTGGAGGAAAAGCCATTCGTGGAAACAAAGAGAGAAAAACACAGCAAGAGAGAGACAGCGAGAGAGAGAAAGACACAGAGAGAGACAGCGAGAGAGAGAGAAAAACTCCCTTCTTTTTCAATAGCACTGCAGGATCTTTAACAGCACCTCTGACAATTCAACACCCTCACCCGCCACTGCCCCCGCGCTGTATTGGAACGCCAGCTTACATTATGTGATTCCAAACTCACGGCGTGGGGCTCGAACCCACATCCTTCTGCCTCAGAGGCGAGTGAGAGAGAGAGAGATCTACCCACTTTGCCAGGTTGACTTATTTCCCCTCAAGCACTGTGGTACGTTAAACCAATGCGCGGCTTGGAACAGAAACGGAACAGCGTTGGACGCCCACAAAAAAACGCTTCTGAATGAAAGCGTGATGGTGACGTTCGCGGGTGGAAAATAAACTAAGTAAAAAGGATGCGGGGCTACTTTGCCAAATTGACTTTAACCTCAGAAGTCATACACAGGCGGTGTAACTATTCTGGTCAGGCCGCACCTAGATTACAGCGTACATACAATTCTGGTTGCTGTGACATATGGGAGCTTCCCTGGAGGTAATGGAGAGAAAAGCAGCCAGGACGATCCTCAGTGTTAGAGGAACGAGCTAAGACTAGAAGGCCGAAACGCCTTCTTTATCCAGAGCTGCCTTATGGATGTCATGAGTATTTTTTTTTGCAGTGATTTAATGCTCAGAGGTGCAACCCTGCGTGAAGGGCAGCAATTAAATGCCAGTTGGGAAAATTTTCACCAGTAAAGTCCCTCAAACAGAGGTAAATTGAAGGCCTCATTAATCTTTTTTCTCATTGAGCTTCAAATGTGCAATTTTCAAATTTATTCAGCAACATTTTGTAAAGTGGGGCACTTATCACTCGTAGAACTATCTGTGATTTCTGCAATAATGTTGTTGGACTGTGTTATTCTAAGTCTATCCTGACGTCCAATTTGTAATATTTCTTTAAAAATGTTTCAGTCAGACCTGGTGCGTTGACTCATATGGAAACCCATCGTCATGCTTTAAGGGTCTGCAAACCAGACTGAGAATTCTATAATTGCCACCTACACATTGCAAATGTTTGTGTTTGGAATGGAATGCACACTCTTTCCCCACAACCCCACCCCTCCCCCAGAAGGATCACATCCTGCTTACCTAATTCTGGAGAATATTAGGCACAGGTTGGCAAGAGCTAAGGTTAGGGTGTTCTGCAATTTAACCAGCTAAAACCTTATACAACAACAAGATTCCATTTATAGAGCGCCTTTCACGTCGGGGGGACGTCGCAAGGCGCTGGACAGTTGGGTCAGGACCCGAGCATTGGGGGAAAATGGTCAGGGTGAGGGAGGGAAGGGAGGAGGCGGCGAAGGCACTGGGGGATGGAGTTCCAGAGCCTCGGGGCTGAGAGGCTGAAGGCCCGGCCACCGATGGTAGGGCGGTTGGGGCGGGGGATGTGGAGCAGACCGGAGCCAGAGGAACGGAGGGTACGGGCAGGTAAGTGGGGGATAGTAGGTCGGAGAGGGAGGAGGGAGCGAGGCCGTGAATGGCCTTGTAGGTGAGGATGAGGATCTTGAATTCGATCCTCTGGGGGATGGGGAGCCAGTGGAGGCGAACGAGGGTGAGGGCGAGGGTGAGGGCGGGAGTGATGTGGTCGCGGTGTCTGGTGCGGGACAGTACACGAGCTGCAGAGTTCTGAATGACCTGCAGTGTGGAGGGAGGTGGCGGGAAGGCCGACGAGGAGAGAGTTCCCATAGTCCGGCCTCGAGGTGACGAAGGCGCGGACCAGGGGTTCAGCCGCGCGAGGGGTGAGGTAGCGCCGTAGCCCGGCGTCGTTCCGGAGGCGATGGGACGGCGGTGCCGGTTGCGGCGCGGATATGGGGGAGAAAGGACGGCTCAGGGTCGAGCAGAGCCCCGAGGTTCCTGACTGGCTTTGAGAGGTGGAGAGTGCGGCCGTGGAGCTGATGGTGTCAGCGCCTGAGGTGCGGAGGCGCTGACGTGAGCCAATCAGGAGGGCCTCAGTTTTGCGCACATTGAGCTGAAGAAAGTTGTCTCTCGTCCAGGACTCGATGTCGGACAGACAGCTGTCAGGACATCGGGGGTCGTGGAGTTGAGGGTAGAGGAGGAAAGGTAGAGTTGGGTGTCATCCGCATACATGTGGAAGTTAACCCCATGTCTGCGGATGATGTCACCAAGGGGGAGCATATAGAGGGTGAAGAGGAGGGGACCGAGGACAGAGCCCTGAGGGACACCGCACGAGACAGTGGGGGGGTGGAGGAAAAGCCATTCGTGGAAACAAAGTGAAGACGGTGGGAGAGGTACGACCTAAACCACTCAAGGACAGGGCCTTGAAGGTTGAGGTGGGAGGACAAGCGGTGGAGGAGGATAGCGTGGTCGACCGTATCGAATGCTGCCGATAGGTCGAGGAGGACGAGGAGGCAGAGGGAGCCCTGGTCACAGATGGTCAGGATGTCATTGGTGACCTTGACCAGGGCAGTTTCTGTGCTATGGGCAGCACGGAAACCCGACTGAAGGGGTTCGAATAATGAATGGGTGGAGAGGAAAGAGCGCAGCTGGGAGGCGACAACTCTTTCAAGGACCTTGGACAGGAAGGGGTGGTTGGAGGTGCGCGGTAGCTTGATAGCTGCGACGCATCAAGGGAGGGTTTTTTTAAGGTGGGAGTGATGCTGACAGTTTTTAGGAGTATGGGAACAGAGGAGAGGGACAGGTTGATGATGTCTGTAATATGTGGGGCAAGGAGGTGGAGCTGGGAGATAAGGAGTGGAGTGGGGATGGGGTCAAGGGAGCAGGTGGTGGGTTTCAGGGATAGGATGAGTTTGGTGACAGAGGGTGGGGAAACGGGTACGAAGGTGTGTAGGGGAGGATGGGTAGGAGTCGGAGTGTGGGAGGGAAGGGGTGGGGGTGGGTGGAAGTTGGAGGGGAAGTGACCGCGGAGCGGATTCCCTTGATTTTGGATTCAAGGAAATCCAGCATCTCCTCGCAGTGAAGGTTGGAGGAGATGACCTGCGCGGGGTGGCGGGGGGACGGAGGAGTCGGGATGTGGTAGAAAACAGTAGCCTGGGGTTGTTCTTCGCCTCCAGGATTATCCTGGAGTAGAAGGACGACTTGGCCGAGGCTAGAGTGGAGCGGTAGATTTTGAGGAGGTCCAGCCAGATTTGTCGGTGGACCGTTAGGCCAGATTTGACCAGGTGCGTTCAGCGGCCCGCACCTGGCTCTTCAGTGAGCGGAGGTGGGTGGTGAACCAGGGGGAGGAGCGAGAGTAGGAGACAGTACGGGAGGTGATGGGGGCAAGAGTGTCGAGTGTGGAGGAGAGGGTGTTGTGGAGGAGGGTGAGAGCAGAAGAGGGGTCAGTGAGGGTTGAAGGCCAGAGGGAGAGGAGTTCAGAGGACTCCAAGGCAGCGGTTAGGGATTGTGGGGGTAACTTCTTCCAGGGCGGTAGAAGATGGTGGTGGGTCTGGTGGAGGTGGGGAGGGGGGTGGAGGTGGTGAAGGAGATGAAGTGGTGGTCGGAGATGGCCTTGTCGGTGATAGTGACATCCGAGACACTGAGGCCCCGGGTGATCACCAAGTCGAGTGGGTGGCCGTGACTGTGAGTGGGGGAGTTGATGTGGAGGGAGAGGTTGAGTGAGGAGAGCAGGGAAGAGAAGTCTGAGGAGATGGAGCAGGAGGGGGTGAAGTGCAGGTTAAAGTCGCCCAGGATGATGAGGCGATCAGAGCAGAGGCAGAGAGATGTGAGAAGTGTTGAAATATTGGAGATGAAGGTAGGAGAGGTTTTAGGGGCCGGTAGAGGAGGAGGATTTTGAGTGAGAGGAAGGAGGGGTGGGAGAGGGTGAGGTGCTCGAAAGAGGGGAAAGAGCCAGAGGAGTAGGGGGATAGGGCAAGTGGTGTCCTTGAGATAAGGGCTACACCACCGCCACGGCGGTTGGGGCAGGGGATGTGGTGGGAGGTGTAGCCGGGTGGTGTGGCCTCCGTGAGGGGGAAGGTGTCGCCTGGGGTGAGCCAGGTTTCCGTTAAGGCCATAATGTCAACGTTCTCATCAAGGATGAGATCGTTGATGACCAGGGCCTTGTTACAGAGGGAGCGGACGTTTTGTAGTCCGATGTGGAGGGAGCGGTTGACAGAAGGGTGTGTGGGGAGGGAGGGGGGTCCAGGTTGTGAGGCAGGGGTGGGGGAATGGGGATGAGGGAGGAGAGGTTGGCTCCCCGGGTCTGTGTCCGGGGTGGCTGGCGAGTGTGGTGGGGAATGGGGCAGTCGGTGTGGCTGCTGCTGGACAGCCAACGCCGAGTGCCACGGTGAGCCCGGCGGAGGATTCCCAGACTGGAACAGAGGGAGCGGGTGGGAGGGTCAAGTGGGGATAGAAGGCGAGAGGGACGGAGAGAGAGGAGGACAGAGCGGGAGAGATGCAGAGGGGGGAGGGGGTGAGGGGGTGAGGGTCAGAGCGGCAGCTATAATGCGCACGCGGGGACTGGGAGTGAGCGGTCCGGTGGATGGCATTAGCCCAGAGGCAGGGGCTGGGGCAGCCAACCCAACAGGACCATGGTGGGCCCTGATGCCAGCCCTGGAAGTGGGGGGGGGGGTGCGCAGAGGGTTGTTTTTTTTTTGTGCGCACACTAAACTATGACGTCAGCGGTTCCCCCGCTCCGCCCCCACACACCCATAGCCCCCACCGCCTAGCCGGACTCCCTGCCGCCTCGTGCTTTATACTACCTGAGGTAGGCCCAGGCTCCTCCCCGCGCTGTCCTGCTGCCGCTCCCCGTCAAAGCTTACAGCTTGACCAGTTGTGATCACTCTGCCCCCAGTGACCCAGGTCCCTCCAAAACCTACTGATAATACACCAGCCAGAAGGTCGTCAGCGGTTGGTTCCTTAATAAGAACTATTTCATTGTAGAATTTAAATCTTCTAAATCATTTTTTAACCTATTCAGTGTTTGAATCCCCCATCGTTTCCATATTCTTTAAAAATTTGGAGTGTGAGCATTGAACATTTTGGATTAACACCTTAAGAGAAAAGAGTGTCTGTCTCCGCGTGTCCTGGCCACAATTGTAATGGTATCCCACTCCTCTGCCGACCCCCACACTCAGCTAACACAGCCTGTCTCCTGAGCCCTCTGTGCTACCATTAGTGGCCGTGAACTCAGACACTACACTACTAATCTCTGGAACTCCCTGGTTCAATCCCTCCAGCTCACCCATACTTATCTATCTTTAACTCCCACCTGAAGACCTATCTCTTGCTCGGGGTCCAACCACACCCCCCCACTGTGCAGCGCTCTGAGATGCTATCCCTCATGAGGGGTGCTGTATAAATGCAGTTATTATTTGGACAAATTGGGTCTTTTGCATCTTTGGTTGTTTGTGGGACTGTTGCTGTTCGACTGCATCGTTTTCCTACAAAAACAGTCACCCCACTTGACAATTATTTTATGTTTAGATAGAGATGTTTCCTTGCACAAGGTGCAAAATATACAAGTTCATCCCATGCTCCCAGCAATCTGCAATCTGTAGCCAGATAGGCTGTGGCCTTTAGAGCGGTGTAATAGATGCTGAACATGATTGAAAAAAAATAAGCCCAGGGCAGTACTTTCAGATTCTAGGAGGCGACAGGAGAAGATGTCACAGGTGAAGGCCAATTTTAGGACAGACCCCTTGAATTACTTCTGAACACAGAAGGTAGTTAATAGTTAAAACAGGTTACCAAAAGGAGTGGTTGATATTGGGACACTGGTGCTCATTTAAGAAACAGAAGAACGTTTAAGAAAATATAAGGTCAATTGTGTAATGTAAAGATGGGAGTTATTTCTTGAAGTAACTGTATATAAAATCAGCTTCAAAATTCAGACTGTGTTCAACAATTTGCTGATTTCCGAGCGCTCTGAAATGCTTAAGTAAATAAAGCAAATCTAGACACAGGTGGAATTTCCCACAATTGTTTGTGTTTTTTCTACACAGCAAAACCTATGGAAACGTGCTGGTGTTGGATGGTGTGATTCAGTGCACGGAGAGAGACGAGTTTGCTTACCAGGAGATGATTGCAAACCTAACCCTTTGCAGCCACCCTAATCCCAAAAAGGTACCGCTTGATCCTTTGTACATTTGGGGGTACTTATTGGTGGGGGCGGGGGGCAGGAAAAGAGTCATCCAGGATTCCTTTTGTGATTCCCAGATATTAGACAAGACTGGTGGGATGGGAGCGAACAGGAGGGGAGTACTAACCTATTGTGGCGCGGTTTGACAGTTTGCTGAGATCTGTTTGTTGGCTGGACGTGAGGTTTTGAGGCAGGAGTGTGCAGGATGGTAGGGTTCAGGCTGTCTGGAGGCTCACACAAACACCTGCCCTCCTCCCTCAGGTGCTGATTATCGGCGGCGGGGATGGCGGGGTACTGAGGGAAGTGGTCAAACATTCCGCGGTCGAGTCGGTGGCACAGTGCGAGATTGACGAGGTGAGTGTGTTTGTGGTGGAGGGGGCGGGGGGGGTCTTTGTTTTGCCCCACCCTACTTCTGCAACCTTCTTAAACCCTACCATCCCACCAGATCCCTGGCACTCAATGGCCCACCTCCCACTCCCCTTCTCAGCGTCCAACCCCATCCCTGGAAAGTGCTCCTCCAAGATATTAACTTCCGTGAAGGCCGCTAGTTATTGTAATTTGTGACAATGGTTGAGCCCGAAGCTGTAGCACTTACTATTTGTTACCAGTGGCGTTTCACATAATAACTCGCTTTGTATCACGGGGAATGAGTTCCAAGATTCTCACCCTAATTAAATTCCTCCGTGGTCTGGCCCCACCGTACTTCTACAACCTTCTTAAACCGTACCATCCCACCTGCTCCCTCCGCTCAGCAGGAACTGGCCTGCTTCACGTTCCTCACCCTGCGTGCCTCCACATCAAGTCGGGCTTTCTAGAACTCTAGAAGAAGTCCCTTCGCCTCTTTCCTTCCCTCGCCTTTTTCAGGGAGGTCTCAAGACCTCCTTCTTTGGCTGCATCTTCAGTCATCATTTCCTCCCCTGTCCCTTTGCAAACCTGAACCCGTGCCCTCATGTTCTGCCGACTTGTTGTATGTGAAAGTGATTTTGTTTGGTAAGTGGTGGCATCAAGGCAGTTTGCGTGTTACATTCCAGTGCCCAACACAGCCTATCTGCATTGTATTCGTTTTGTTTTTTAGGATGTAATAAATGTTTCCAAAAAGTACTTGCCAGGCATGGCTCTGGGCTTCTCCAGCCCCAAACTGAAGCTCCATGTTGGGGACGGCTTTGAGTATATGAAGGAGAACCAGGATGCCTTCGACGTGATTATCACCGACTCGTCAGACCCAGTAGGTACGAGTTTTGATAACTGTTTAGTCCTCAGTGTAAGTTGTGGTAACTCCCCGTTATTCCCTCCCTCTCTCTTTATCCCGACCTCCTGTGTAACTTTGGATCAATCCAATTCAAAATATTTATGTTTAACTGAAGGACAAGCCAGCTATTTTATAAAGTGACACAATGGTAAGCTATGCGGTTTTAGCTGGTTAGACTCCAGCAATTACTCCCAATGAACACTTTGGGGTCCCCAAGCCTTGGCTCTCGCCAACCTGCGCCTAATACTTACCAGAATTAGGTAAGCAGGATGTGTCCCTCCAGGGAGAGAAGGCGCATTTCATTCCAACAATCTATCTCTGGGATTTCCATGTGTAGGTGGGATGTATGGAATACTCAACTTGGTTTGGATACTTTTAAGCAGGTGATGGATTTCCGCATATGCCAGATACCCATCTGACCCAAAAAAAGAACAGTGACAACAATAATTATGTTATGAACTTGCATTTTGATAGCATCTTATCACTTAGGAATGTCAAAGCGCTCTACAGTCTTTACTGTCATGTAGTGACTGCTTTTTGTTGCAGCGCAAGGTCTCGCAAACAGCCTCCAGGTAAATGACCGTTGAATATAGAGGATTAGTGGCCAATGGGAAACAACAACAAAATTACATTTGTGTAGCACCTTTCACGTCAGGAGGATGTCCCAAGGCGCTGAGATCCCTTTTTGTTTTCCAAAAGGGATCTTTAACATCCACCTGAATAAGCAGAGGGACTTCAATTAAACTGACAATGCTGTGCAGGACTGCGCTGGAGTGTCAATGATGACTGAGCTCAAATCCTGACAAACGTGTTGAATCCACACCCTTCTGACTTAGATGCACGAATGCTATCAACTAAGCTAAGCTGACACCTTGTATTGTGCTGTTCTTAAAACTCCACTCAGACACTCCTTCCCTGATTAGGACACTCATCTTTGGTACCAATAGACCAAATGACTGCAGGGCCACAAACTCAACCACTTAGCTGTCGTTCTCTCTCCCTCCAGTGGCTCAATGAGCAGAACAATGCAGGCTCACACAAGAACATAAGAATTTACTGGCGCAACAAAACCAAGGTCCATCTGGTTTGCCTTCCACCATCCTGGCAATCGCTTGACATGTCATGTCCCAAACTATATACTGTATCCTGAGACATTATTTTCTAGTAGAAATTTTCTAATTTGTTCTTGGAACAAATGACATTTTCTGCTTCACTGTCTGTCTCCCTCAGGAGCCTGTTCCATAAGTTTACTATTCGTTCACTGAAGTAGTTTTTCTGCAGATTTGTTCTGAATTTACTCCCCTTCAATCACAGGCCCTGTCCTCTGGTTCTAGTTCTACTGTTCAGTGGAAGATAAACAGCTTATCATGGTCTACATGATGATGTCAAGCAACATCCCAGAGTTGTGATGAGTTAGCTGCTGGTTGAGGAGGAGGGGCAATTAGTCAGGGGTTACTGCTTCTGATCACTATTAGAGATCCCCTCCATGGAAGGTGTCTTGTGTCAAGTGAGGGCCTGCCAACATTGGGTATAACCACACTTTCAGTCATCTTTCCCCACCTCACTCCCAGCTCAGGTACCCAGCCAGTAATGTCGAAGCGCTTTGAGACATCTTCCCGACGTGAAAGGTGCCATGTAAGTTTAAATTGTATTGTAATCCGTACACAGCCACAAGGAAAATGGAGTCGGTTCAGCAGATGAGATTATTGGCAGAGGAAGTGGGACTGTCTACCTAGGTATTGTGTGAACAGTTTGTCTGCATTAACTTAATAACACTAACACTTGTCAAAAGCACATTGCATCTGATCCAGAACCAGCCAAGCTCTTTTATGTTTTCCTAATATGGGAGCTTGTGTTCCTGAGCGCTGGCGTTATTACTCCCCCCATCTGCTGGGAAGGTGTGTGTGAAGTGAGTGCTGGCTGAGGATGAGATCTGTGACCCCCTCACCCCCACCCATCCACAAATACCCTGCTGATGCTTCCTGCCCTTCACACCCCTGACCCTGTGCTCTCTTCTGCTGGCTTGATATATCTGAGAGTATTGTTCTGGGTTTACTTTCTCAATCCCTCAAACTTCAATGTGGTGTCAGCCTGGGGCATTGGTAGGACTCGCTTCTGAGTCAGAAGATTGTGGGTTCAAGCCCCAACCTCGGGTTGGAATCACATAGCTGACACGCCATTCCAGTGATGGGGGGTGTTGCAATGTTGGAATTGCCATCTTTCAGAGGGGATGTTAAAGATCCCATGGCACTGTGCATTAGTGCATTAGTGCACAGTTGCCTGCAAAATACACTTAGTCACTTCATTTCACAGGAATTCCTGTGAAGCACTTTGAGACGTACTTCAGACGTGATAAGGCGCTATACCAAATGCAAGATTTATTATTATTCTGGGTTTACTTTCTCAATCCCATTTAGCGTCTCATAGGGGGTCACCTCTGAGATGTCTCAAGGCTGAGAAGCCCAGGTTTATCTAGCTACTTTAACACAGATTATACTAAGGTTATCTTTGCTGTTTCTCTCTCATTGGTGCCAAGGCCCGGCTGAGAGCCTGTTTCAGGAGTCGTATTACCAACTGATGAAGAATGCTCTACGCCAGGGAGGGATCCTCGGCTCCCAAGGTGAGTGTCCTGTACTGATACACAAGAGTTCAAAAAGCATACGGGATATAAAGGGTGTATAAATAGGGGCATAGAATACAAAAGTCAAGTTATGATGAACCTTTATATAAAACACTGGTTAGGCCTCAGCTAGAGACTGTGTTCAGTTCTGGGCACCACACTTTAGGAAGGATGTCAAGGCATTGGAGAGGGTGCAAAGGAGATTTTTCAGGATGGTACCAGGAATGAGGGACTTCAGTTATCAGGAGAGGCGAGAGAAGCTCGGATTATTGGAGAAGGTTAAGAGGACTTAATAGACGTTTTCAAAATTATGAGTGAGTTCCATAGGGTGAACAAGGAGAAACTATTTCCACTGGCTGGTGGGTCTATAACCCGAGGACATATTTGATATTTAAAATCAAAGCAACAGAGGAGGTGAGAATTTTTTTCACACAGTGAGTTGTTCGGATCTGGAATGCATTGCCTGAAAGGCTGATGGAAGCCAATTCGATAACAACTTTTAAGAGAGAAGTAGATAATTATTTTGGGAGTTTGCAGGGCTATGGGGAGAGCGCGGGGGAGTGAGATTGATTTGGAAGCTCTTTTCAAAGAGCCTACACAGACACAGTGGGCCAAATCTTGTGTGCTTGATGATTCTATGAATTACACAACCGGCAGGGCGAAATGTTGGGCAAATTTCCTTACTCCACAAGCCTTGGTTTACCCAGCAGTAAGTAGGAAACCGGTTGTTAGTCGATTGGCGGATCGCTTTTCCGAGGATAATAGTCCTTCTAAAAAAAATTAAAATTAAAATAATTATTTGGACACTGTTTGAGGGACGCTGCTGTGCGCAATTGGCTGCTGCGTTTCCCCTATGTCAATTCACTTTGCAATATATTCTGTAAAGAGCTTAGGATGTGATAAAGCGCTATATCGAATGCAAGGATTATTATTATATATAACTAGGATGTTGCCAGGTACGAGAAGTTTTAGTTATGTAGAGATGTGATAGATTCAGACTGTTTACACTGAAGCAGGGAGGGTTAAGGGGAAGCATGTAACAGAGCTGTTGGGAATTATGAGTGATTTTAATAGAGTAAATAGACTATTTGTAATGATCTGGGCTCCACTGGACAGTAACAAACTAGCATAGACTGGGAATTAACACCTGGAGATGAAGGGGAAGGTTAGAAGAATATTCTAACCTCGTGACTTCTGTTTTTGGAAGAAGATTGTTTGCATACATACACAGAGAGGAGTTGAGTCTCTAACAGCGTTTGTAATGGATTTGGATAGATAAATAATATCTGAGGAAAAGTAATCGTAAAAAACTCTTGGAAGGAGCAGGAGAATGAGAATAGTGTGGAGAGGTCCAGCTGGGAACCTGGCACCAGTACAGATCATGGATATGGAGCAACAGTAACAACAAAATTATATTTATATGGCGTTGACATTGACAAGGAGCAGGGCAATGGGATCAGAGTGCAGAGCTCCATTCCTCACCTCAGGTATAAAAGTATGGCATGTACAGTATGGATAGATATCCGAGTTGAACATTTTAGCTTCCAATCACCATTGCTTTACCAAACAAATGAATCGTGACGCATCTTTTTGTGAGGCTACCGATTTTGTGTTTGCGGTCGGCAGTTTCAGCAGTTGTTGCTGGACTGGGTTTATTACAACAACAAATTATAATTATACGGCGCCTTTCACGTCGGAAAGACCTCCCAAGGCGCTGACAGGTTTACAGGTTGTGAGCTGTGCTGATGTGACATTTGACCTTTGCAGGTGAATGCCAGTGGTTACACCTTGACCTGATCAAGGAGATGCGCAGGTTCTGTAAGTCCTTGTTCCCTGTGGTGGAGTACGCCTACAGCACCATCCCCACCTACCCCAGTGGACAGATCGGCTTCATGCTGTGCAGCAAGAATCCTGTAAGTCCATTGCCTTTTTAGTCCATAGTCTGAGAGCCACACTGATTGGGCTGGTTCTATTGTGGACATCAAAACAGTGTGGATATCAAGTCTGTGTGTGTATGTGTCTATGTGCTAGCTTTTTTCTCTCTCTTTCGCTCTCTCTCTCTCTCTCTGCATCAAACTTAGATGCAGTGTGAATAAGGGGATGATGTGTAAACTAGTGACAAATATTGATGCCCTTGTATTTCTAGATTGTAAAATCTTTCCTGGGGGTTAGTGAAGTTAGCACTGGGCCATGCAGACTAGACAGATAGGTTTGAATCCCAGTCTGTGCTGTGAGCTGATCTCAGCTCGAGCTCTGGGATTGAATTGACCTGAAAGTACCCAAGGCGTCCAGATGATTGCTACGGTCAGGGCTTGAGCACACAGTCCAGTGCAGCATTGGGGGTGAGCTTCACACTGTCAGAGTTTTGTCAAGAGTATCTTGGAATCCTGGAACACTCGCCTCACAAGCCAGCAGGTTCAATACCAGCCGGGCAGGGCGAAACATTGGGCAAGTTTCCTTTTTACTCCACACGCCTCTGTTTACCTAGCAGTAACAAAGAAACACGGTTGTTAGTCGATTGGCGAATCGCTCATCTGGGAGTAATAATCCCTTCAAAACAAAAATAAATTTTAAAAAATAATAATTTGGTCACCTTAACCACGACTGTTTGTGGGACACTGCGCAAAGGTACCAAAGGACACAGGCAATCCATTTTTGTACCAGGGCAGCACAATAGCATCGCAAATGTTCACCTGTGTCTCTTTTTAACAATACAATTTATTCCACCCACAGATTATTATTATCTATTATTATTAAATTAGTATTTCCTGCTCCCGCTGATGTGGTCAGCAATGCTCCAGAATAATTTATCATTCAACGGCAGATTATGGGATCTCGTATGCAAAATGCTTTGCTGCTGTTTTGTCCTAAATATACCAATAGGCTACCCAAGCCCTTTGAGATGTTTTGCTAGAAAAATGCAAGTTCTCTCTCTCTCTCTATTGCTGTTGCTGGCTACAGGAAACAAGCTTCCGGGAGCCAGTGAGGCAGCTGTCAGGGGAGGAGGTGGAGCGAATGCAGCTCAGATACTACAACGCAGACATGCACCGAGCAGCATTTGTCCTGCCTGAGTTTGCCAGAAAGGTAATGTCAAATTGGGCAGGCAGGCACAGCCTGGCACACCCATCCTCTCTCCCCAGCCCCCCACACCCCCCACCCACCCACACACACTAACACACTCATCCTCTCACCCGGCACCCCCCCACCCACACACACCACACACACACGTGCGCACACATACACGCATGCACACACACAGAGGAAAATCAGAATTGTGTCAACGACTATTAACCTGGTTGAACAGGAAGCCGAGTTATAATCTTGGACACTGCTGTGCGCAATTGGCTGCCACGTTTCGCCCACAAAATATAGTAATTTCACTTTACAGTGTATCCTGTGAAATGCTTTGAGACGTTTCAATGACGTGATAAGGCGCTGTATGAAATGCAGAGATTATTATAAATGTAATCTTTTCTCTCTTGTCAGGCTCTCAGCAACGCATAATTTGTGAATCCCGTTGTCTCCTCGGTTGATCGATCGCTGCTGTGACCATCGGCACTTGGACGGGGGGAAGCAAACGGTTTTACAAAATATATCTCATCGACTTTGTTTTTAGTGGATTCTTCCAACCCTGTCAACCAACCGGCAAATTAACCCTCTCCACACTTCCGGGAACAAAACTGCCCTGAGCTGAACTGCCCAGGAAGAGCTGCTGTTCATGTGACTTTCAAACAGGGACATGAATTTCAATAATTTATATTATATATTATATATATTACGTATGTTCGGAGAGTCACGGTCTGATGTCTTCCTTTCTCTCGGGGGACATTTGGTCAGGTCTGTGCCAGATATCTGCTGTCTGTACAGACTGGAAAGGGTTAAGAAGTTCCGGGGAAGGTGGGAAGGGGGAGAGAGAATGAGAGACAGAGAGAGAAATTGCTTAATTTATATATTAAAAAAACACAAAAATTGTTCCTGCTGCCATTTCGTGGAACTGATGAGGGAAAAGGAACTGGGGATATGTGTCAGCACATTAACAGCAACACCGGCAGAGTCCCACCCTGGAGACTTGGGAATCATTCAATTGTTGCACGTTGAGTGTGTCTTGTTTCTTCCCCCACCCCCCTTTGCCTTTACACATGTGCCTCCAGCTCGCGCTCTCTATCTCGTGTCCCATCGGTTTGAAATGATTATCTTGGGTGGACATCGTGCCTGGCTCCCAGCGCGATCTCGGGCTTGTTGCAGGGTGACCATTTCCTGGGGTCTCCGCTCCTCTGAGTTGGGAGGGGGGGGAGCCACGGCTGCCAGGTTTCCAACACAACTGCACCTCAACGGTGATGAGGGAGTGACCTGGGTTGGTGATGTCCCAGTGAGTCAGGAGGAGGAGTGTGGATGGTGTGGGTGGGTGAGGGAGAGATGATGCTTACTCCCCTTCCAATGACTGTGTGTCAGCTGCTGGAGATTGCCCTGATCAAGAGCAGCAGCGGTTCAATGACTGTTGTAACAGGATGGAGTCTCCCGTTCACTCCGGATGTCCTGGCTTGTAATCCTCAGGCTAATGTCGGAGGTTCTCTTCCTGGCTGTTTGTGGGACTGTGCTGGGTGCAGCCTGGCCAACCCTACTTTGCCTCACGACCCTCAGGCGGTGATTACTGTAAAGTGCTTTGAGATGTTTTGATAAGGCCAAATCAAAATGCAATGATTATTATTATAATCTTGTGAGCTTCTGGCAAGTACCAGACCCATAAATAAAGTTGACGGTTAAACCTGCAACTGAGTGAAACCTGTCGTGTATGTGAAATGGGTATTTTTCTCTCTCACCCCCTCCCTCCCACCCTGCACGCTCAACAGTGCACAGTGCGGTCAGACTGAAGCCAAACCAGTCACACCTCAGCCTACAGCGCACTCATCTCTGAATCAGCAGGTCGTGGGTTCAAGCCCCACGTCGGGACTTTGAGCTCAGCGTCTAAACTGACAGTACAGCTGCATTGTCAGAGGTGCTGCCCTTCGAATGAGACGTTAAGCTGAGGTTCCGTTGTCTTTAGAGAGTTGTTAAAGATCCCGCTGCAATGCTCCGTAAAGTTTCGCCCGTTATCCTGGCCGACAATCCTCCAAATAAAGTTTCTCATTCACTCTTGTGCGCAAATTGGCTGACGTGGGTTAGCCCACAAATAAGCAATCGCTGCACTGACCCTGTGCTAAGGTGTTCTATCAAATGAAAGGATTATTATCACAGCACTCGCCGGGTGAAAGTTGGTTGTAAACAGCAGCTTTGCAATCAGCTCAGGTTATTGGGTAAAGAACGATGGGTTTGGCTCCCAGCAACGCACTAATGGGAAGTGTCGCCTCCTAAGACTCCCGCCATAAATCTAACTAATAGAGCTGCATTGTCTCTGGTTTATAAGCTAAACAAACAGTTTGTCTGTCGTTTCTAAACCCATTGTTGATCTCAATTTAAAGCAATTCCCCCCCTTCGCCCCTCCAAGCGCGGGCACATCCCACCTGGATTTCTTGATAAAAGTGCAGCATTTAACAACCACAACAAAATTACATTTATGGACCCGGGGGTGGGGGGGGAAGCGGGGAGATTGAAAACACGGTCGAAGAGGAGGGTCTTAGCTAACGGGAGTTCTACTGTTCCATTTTAACATTAAGTTATTCCTCTTGGATTATCATCGGCCCAAAATGTTCTCCAGCACAGGGTAGTTGGTGGCTGTTTAATGGCCATTCTGTCGAGAGAGCCCATTCACAACAACAACAACAACTTGCATTTATATAAGTGCCATCCTCTCGGAGTAGCATCACAGCACTTCAACAAGCTATGCGCTCACTTTCCTCACTGTATTTAGTCCTTGGCTGTTCTAACACTTTCATCGGGGGATTTCATTCGATCTTAAGTGACCTCAGAGGTTTGCCTTAAAAAATCAACTTTAGGTTTAGGTCTGTCAGCCTGGCTCAGTCCGTTCAGGTTTTCAAACTCCAAGTAGAGGACTTTGAGCTCACAGTCTAAGATGATGGTCCAGTGTTAGGGGTGGGGGGAGGGGGGCAATGTCCAAGTTGTCGACCCCTTTGTGTGTGACGTTAAACTGAGGTTCTGACTGCCAGTAAAGTTGCCTCAGCACTCTTGGAAAAGGGAATCTTTCTCTCTCGCTCGGTGTCCTGGCCAACAATTCCCAGATATAATCAGTCATTCACCTCACGGTTGTGTGTGGGAGTCTTGAGTGCATACTCGCCAGCTTGAGAGACGCTTAATAGAGATATTTCGAAGTGATAAAAAAATAATTTCTAAACATGTAAGTACTCCCGTCTGTTAGATAATTTAGAAGCATAGAACAACCTGATTATTTCACCAAATGGGATTTCCATTGAATATGTCTTTAGGGTGGGTGAGGGAGAGCGTTCCAATTCATGGCAAAGTGTAGTGACTCCTGATAACTCGTCACCCTAAGGGAAAAGAGCTCAGTGACAAGTTAGCCGGAGTGTTAAGCTAAGCATATCTACAAGTACATAACTAAATTCACGGCTGAGATATTGACAGCCTGATGACTTAAACGGCTGTGACAAGTTAAGCCAGAGTCGAGTTATCAGAAGTTTAGTGTATTTGGAAAGCTCGTCCCATTTTCATCAAAGCAAAGGGCACGAGTTCTGTTGAAGCACAACACCGTATTATTTATTCACACTGACTTTCTGATGTATAAATCTGATGTTCAAAAGTTTTTATTGAAGTGTTGCAGACATTTTAATAACTGAAAAATATTCAAGGAATAAAATGTTCGCGATGGCAGGACGTGAGTTTTTTTTTCATAATTTCACTGGGTTTTTTTGTTTGATTCAATCGTGTTTTACTGGATGTTATTGAGCATTTTTCAGGGGCGTGGGGTGGGGGAGAGGGTGAGAGAGGTAAGCGAGGTCTTTTTCCGACACCCTGGAATGCCTTTCTGATGTGAAGGCCGCGAGACAAGTGTAATTTGTTGCTGTCTCAGTGCTGGCCTCCAAGCTGCCATTCTGCACAGCGTACTGTTGGAATCGAGTCAGTTCTCACCCCTAAACAATGCACATTCTGGGGTCTCCAAGCTTCACCCACACCCTCGCCAACCCTGCTCCCCAATACACGCTGGGTTTAGGTGAGCAGGGTGCGTTCCTCCAGCAAGACCAGCCAGAAATAACCTGAAAAGGTTTTCAAACCATGGGCCGTCCTTGGCAGGTTCCCAACGTTAAGAGCAGTTTGAATTGCGTGTCAGCCTGGCTCAGTGGTAACGCTCTCTCTCTCTCCTCTCGCCTCTAGAGTCAGAAATTTGAGGGTTCAAACCCCACAGGACTTGGAATCAAGTGGTCTAAGGTGGTGCTGCATTGTCGAACAAACCACTAAGCTACAGATCTCCACGTGTTCTGTGTGACCGGCCGTGCCCGTGACTGGCGAAGAGCCGTGACTCTCAGGAAGAGGGATTTGGTTAAGGTTAGTGTCTCCCCACGTCTCCTCCTTCCAACCTCTGAGACCTCCCTGCCAGGCTGGGTTGGCGCAGTCTCTGGCTTCAACACTCGCTGGAGGACACAGCTGTGAGTTGGCAGATGCCGAGGCATTGACGGAGTCAGTCGGGAATCGGCTGGAATTGAATCGGACAAATCTGTGCGATGAGGAAGCACGAGGGAGCAGTGAGTTTGGCCAGCAACAGCTGCCAATGTTATCATGAGAATAATAATCTGTGCATTTGGTGCAGCATCTTTCACACCAGGAGCATGTTTTAAAGTGCTTCACAAGACATATGAGGTAAGAGCACTCGCCTCGCAAGTGAGAGGACCTGGGTTCAATTCCCGGGAAGGGCGAAATGTTGGGCAAGTTTCCTTACTCCGCACGCCTCTGTTTACCTAGCAGTAAGTAGGAAACCGGTGGTGTTAGTTGATTGGCAGATTGCTTTACTGGGGATAATAAACCCTTCAAAAACTAAATAATTGGTCACTGAATCCACGACTGTTTGTGGGACGCTGCTGTGTGCAATTGGCTGCCGCATTTTGCCGACAAAATGCACAGTTAATTCACTTTACAGTATATTCTGTGAAGCACTTTGAAACACCTCGAAGACATGATAAGGCACTATAATTAAATGCAAAGATTATTATTACATTATGATATTGTAAAGTGTATTTTAATACTAAAGAGGAGGATCAGAGCAGATCGTCTCAAAATATTCAAGTTCCTTTGTGATAGGGGATTCAACAGTAAGAGGCACTGACAGGATCTTCTGTAATCAGAATTGTGAGGTTAGGATGGTTTGCTGCCTTCCTGGTGCGAGGGTAGTGGACTTCACAGAGCGCATGGACAAGATTCTTCGGGGGAAGGAGAATGTCCAGAAGTCGTGGTCTATGGGGGGACCCACGATATTGGTAAGAAGAGGGCTGAGATGCTCCAGGGCGAGTATCAAAAGCTGGGGAGCAAACTCAACAACGACAACAACAACAACAAGATTCCATTTATAAAGCGCCTTTCACGTCAGGAGGACGTCCCAAGGCGCTGTCCAGAACTCAAGTCCAGAACATCCAAGGTGGTGATTTCTGGGTTACTCCCGGTACCTCGGGCAACAAGGCACCATAATGAAAGGATCAGGCGCATGAACGATTGGCTGGAGAAGTGGTCCGGAAAAGAAGGTTTCCGTTTTCTGAACAATTGGGACCATCACTGGGGGGGGGTGGGATCTTTACCTTGAGGATGAGCGTCACTTAAGCAAGGCAGGGGTGAGCTTCCTTGCCAAGAGATTATCAAATGCTTTAGGGGCGGATTTAAACCAGTGTCGAGGGGGATGGGTATCCCAGGATAAACAATGGAGTAGAGATTAGAGAAAAAAGACAAGTGGGAAGTATAGAGCAGGTACAAGCGGACAATTTCCTCAAATGCATGTACCTAAATGCACGGAGCTTAGGGAATAAGGTTGATGAGCTGCAGGTTCAACTGGCCCTAGGGGGTTACGATGTGTTGGCGGTAACCGAGACATGGCTCAAGCCAGGACAGGAATGGGAGTTAAATATTCCAGGACATAATGTGTTCAGGAAGGATAGAGAAGGAAGAAAAGGAGTGGGGGGTGGCAATATTAGTTAAAGATACAATTATAGCTGTAGAAAGGAATGAGGCTCTGGAAGGCCTGACAACAGAATCCCTCTGGTTAGAGATAAGAAATAAGAAAGGAGTGGTTACACTGATAGGGGTTTACTGTAGACCACCAGCGGGAAGGAGATAGAGGAGCAGATCTGCAACCAGATCGCGGATAGATATAAGGCGAACAGATTTGTGATAATGGGGGATTTCAATTATCCCAATATAGACAACAACAACAACAAGATTCCATTTATTGAGCGCCTTTCACGTCGGGAGGACGTCCCAAGGCGCTGTACAGTTTTGTCAGGACCCGAGCAAGGGGGAAATGGTCAGGGTGAGGGGAGGGAAGGGAGGGAGCGAGGAGGGGGTAGAGAGTCGAGAGGGGAGCTGGGGACTGGCAAAATAGCAGCGCTAAGGGCAAGGCAGGAGAAAGATTCATCAACTGTGTACAGGAAAATTTCTTGAACAGTATGTCTCCAGTCCTACGAGGAAGGAAGCATTGCTGGAGCTAGTCCTGGGGAATGAAATAGGTCAGGTTGAACAGGTTTCCATAGGGGAGCATTGAGGTAACAGTGACCATAATATTATTAGATTTAGATTACTCATGAACAGGGACAAAGTACAGTCATGGGTGAAAATGCTTGACTGGAAAAGGGCTAATTTTGATGGGCTAAAAAGGGAC